AGAAAATGGCTTATGGATGGCGGCAGCTTGCACTTGTTACCATTCACTTTAATAGGTCTGGTGTTTAACCGGAGAGTCCATTTAAAGTTGTGGTCTTTCTCAAGCTATATTTGGGTCACGGTTTATGACCCCCTGTGAGTCAGGGGCGGATGTCTGTATCTCTAGGGCTGAGAGAACCTGACCGGTTATTACTCGAAAATATTGCAATATAGTCGCCCATAAAAGTCCAGGAAGGGGGCGGGGGGGGGGGAATCAAGGTCATTGTGGGCGGGTCATAAATCATAGTGCAAAGTTAGTCTGAAGTAAAGAGGACTCAGGCTCATTAAGGGTAAATGAAAAACGTGTCAAATGGATCCTCAGCTTCATATGCTAATCTGTGTGCTTAAAAAAATTCACTACCTCCCTTGTGATGGTAATAATATCATTAATAATAATAATAATAATAATGTAGTATGTGTCATCCCAGGAATAAAATGCGTTTGATGTAATATCTTGTTAAATTCTTCCAACTTCACAGATTTTATTTATTTTAAAGATGAAACCTGGAGAGGTGCTTTATTTTGTCTTAGTTATGTCTTAAGGGCAAAAAGATGTTTGAAGATGAGATGATGTGAGGAATCAATCAGAAAGAAAGAACCACGTGAGATTTGGTGTTGTGGAAGGGAAACTAGATTTTAGTCCCAAAGCTGTCATGGGTAGGTCACTGACCCATGTTGTTTTCTCATCTCTACAACCAAGAAGTCAGGCTAAATTCTGTAAGGCTTATTCGCTTCTTCATCCTTACTTGGCATATGTATGTTTGTAAGTAATTTGAGACCCTTTGACATGTTAAAGGTACATTTAAAACATTTCATTGAAGAAATATTGATAAAATTATACCAAATATAAGTAAAAATGTATAATTCCATACTTTTGGAATAGTGTTTGGAGTAGTGTTCTTCCGAATTCCTCATTTTGGATACAAAGCAACAGGATTATATGAGGTCCCTTCAAACGGTTGTTGATTTCTGTTAAGCTTAACATACTTTAGAAGCTGTAGTTGGAGTAAATGAAATAGAGCATATTTTGAATAAAATGGTGATAACTGTGTTACATTGCCTACCTCCGATTGTTTAATTTAATGAAAGAAATTTGAGCATTTTAAAATGCATGCACAGAACCATTAGCCACCGGTAGGTTCTAAAACAAGCAGTAATCAGTGAATCATAAAAGTGTTACTTATTTGCCCACTTCCTGATTTCTTTCATCGATGGGGACTGATTCTGAACTTTTAAAAGAGTATAGATAAAATAATGCCATGTATTAGTGAAGAAGTGAATTGAAAAGTCCAGTAATGTCTCCATGGAGCTTTTATTCCGGCATTGTAATTGAGTGAGTCAATAACATCTCTTTCAGCTTAGAAGGCCACATGGTGATGGTGTCAGTATTATCAGGCATAACGGGCAAGGCAGAGGAAAAGCTATTTTTATTACCAGAAAGTTGTCCCCTAAGTTCAGTTTTACTTTTATACTAAAGAATGAAGACTTTTTATTTAGTAAACTATTAGGGCTCAGATTCAACTTTTCAAATGCACTAAATATAAATGGCATTTTATCATTTAGTAGAGTAATCAGTACATTAATAACTCTTAAGTTGAAAATGTTTGAACTGCTTTTGAATCAGTAAAAAATATAGGTGAAACACAAGAGTGGAAAAACACCCGTCTTTCTTATCGTCACAGTAGTAATTTTTTGGTTAAGAATCATTGGTAAATTGAGTTAGCCCTAGTTTTAAAAGCCCATCTTCGTAGACATGAAGTAGCACTGCTCACATTTTCACAAAGTCTTCCTGGAGAACTCAGCAATTGAATCAGAATTCGTTAATTATGCATTCTTCATTATCTTCGAAAATGGGGTCCTGATTTTCTGCTAGGCTTCATTCTGTAACTCACCTGTCCTGCTTTTACTGAAAGAGATTTAGTTTACAGGCTTCAGTTCAGTCTCTCTGTTTTAGATGGCATCTCTGTTTTTGGTTTTCTGCTTGAAGAGACCTCATGCCAACATGTTGGAATGCAACCTCCCTTCATGCTTATGGTATGATACCAGCTGAAAGGCTGTACCATCTGAGGTTTTTCATCCTGACCAGTAGTTCTCAGACTTCAGTGTTAGAGAAAGTAGGTAGCTGCCATATGGTTAAGTGGTACCACCACTTTAATGATGGGGAACCAGAATCATTTTTCATTCTGGAGTTTGTAAGACTAGAAGTAGAACTCATCTTTAAGTTTCCCTTCCTCATTTTTGGAGGTGCTTATCATTTGCAGTTTCTCATTTAATCACGACAATTACCCCGTGAGTTAATATTTTTATCACCACCATTCAGATGGGTAACTGAATTCTGAAAAGAAACTGAAGCTTGGAGAGCTAATAAAAGGCTGCGTCATAATTGGAATGTGGCTCTCTTTAATATTTATACAAAATTAATTTCCTGTTCCATTGAAATAAATTGAATACCAATGTGGTTTTTTAAAAAAAATGAATGCCTCATTGGCTAATTATTAAGGATAGCTATACTTGATCCTTTAAGTAGAATTATTTAACTTGACCAATTTTCAGAGTAGATAAAATCAGAAGTTAAATAGCTGTATAAATTTATGCTTAAAGTTATATAGCTGTACCTTTGTTTTTAAATTTTATTTTAAGCTGCAATTATAGGTTTATATTATATATATATATATTTTTTTTCTTTTGTCCCTGTGGGTAAATTTTTTTTCTTTCTGGTATGCCCTATAACTTGTTGATTGTATTCTTTTAGACCTAGCAATGTTACAAATTTAATTACATTGTATACTTATGAGAGTTTGGAATATTCTTTGTTATCCCAAAATTTCTTGAATTTTTAAGACTAACATTGCTTTTATACCACGTAGAGGAGATTTGATCCCACAATGGTGGTGATGTTGTTGAACTAGATGAAATGTTCATCTCACTTTGGATGCATTAGCTGCAGTGTAGCTCTAACAACTATAAGTATAAGGTAGGATTTTTTCTTGACTTTAAGCCAGTGAATGACTGGGGTTTGACTCATGGATGGTTGACCTGTGCTATTTCCTAATGTTACTGACAGAAACTGCTGTGCTGAAACATTGGGAAGCCACCATGGAGTCATAGTCTTCGCAGCATTGTTGACCTTGGCCATGTTTCAGGACATTTTGATGTACCACATTTAATTCTGCTTGAGATTTGTTTCTAGAAGATGAACTCATCCATTTTCCATTAGAGCAGCAGCTCCTTTACTTTCTCCTTCCATATTTTGTCTCTAAGAAACAAAGGTACAGCCAAGAAAGTTAGAGTAGAAATACATTACCTTTGACAATCTAGCAGTCATGGACCATAGAAAAATTGACCGAACCTGGGACCCTTCAGTCCGCAGGCCGACGCTCTATCCACTGAGCCAAACCGGTTAGGGCAGAAAATAGTTCTTTTTTAAAAAGTATCTACGGGGAATGGAAATGTAATGATAATGATTTTGATGTATTTTTTATATTCTCAGTATGTAATAGTTTCTCATTGCTATGATAAGCAGTATGCTTCACAAATTCACAACTTGTCCTTAATTTCCTGTCTCAGAGAATGGTACCACCATTCACTTAATCCCTCAGCCAAAAACTGGGGAACCATCCTGGCATGTGCTCTTTGCTTCCAGTTGTTCACTAACTCCTCTAAGTTTTCCTCATTAAGTTCTTCATTGCCCTTTTCCAACATGTCTGCTGTGTTAACTTTTCCTTCCTCTTCCCTCCCCTCCCCACTTCTCTTATAAGTTAGAACTTTTGGGGTGTTTACCAGGTGCCCTCATTTTTTATGTGGGTAACCGGTAAGCCTATCTTATTTCATTTAGTCAGTCTTGGAGCCTTATCCACCCACTTAAGTCCATACTTCAAAGTGTTGTTCTTCTTTCCAAAATGCAAGTTCATCATGGCATTCTTCTAAAAATCCTTCAGTGGTTTCCAGTGTGTTCAGGGTGCAATCCAAACTCATTGGCATTGTTTAGCAGTGTTTTTCGCTTTTGGATCATTCTCTGCTTGTAAGTCATGAAATAGTATCATAGTGCATCACATAGAGTAAGGGTAATCATGTCATTAAACTTTTTCAGATATATATTTCATATGTATTTCAAATATATACTTATATATCTCATATATTTGTGTGTACTAGTAACATTATGAAATATATTTTTTGGAGTTGATTGTGGTCAAAGGATAGATATGTTTTATCCCATTCTTCCATATGCAATGACTCTTGTCGTTTCAGCTTAATTGGATTTTCTCTGCCTGCCTTTATACCTTTGCTTACTTGTTCCCTAGTTCAGACGAGATTTCAGCTTAATTGGATTTTCTCTGCCTGCCTTTATATTTATACCTTTGCTTACTTGTTCCCTAGTTCAGACGAGCCTCCATTCTTCATTTAGCTAATTCACAGATTTCACTCTCTCCAGAAACCTTTTCCTGATGGCAATTTACCATGAGAAATACATTTTGTATTACAACCTGGTACACGTGTAAATGTTCACTTAAGTGAAGAAAGTGCCATGAAACAACATCCTTCCTATATGAGATGCTCTTTCCCCCTGCCCCTCTGTCTTACCTTATCTTACCTGGTATTGGTCTTGTCTGTTTACTGTCTTTCTCCACTGAGGATAGGGCCTCTCTCTTATAGTCAGGATATAGTCAGTAGATGTTGATTAAATTAATGAAATCTTGAATCAGTATGTGTTATCTAGAACTCTTTACAATATTATTATTATTTAAGCTTGAATTGTAGAAACTAACTTTTATGAGTGCTTCTCTTAATGGTTTTATTACAGGAGGAAAACGTTTTTCCTTACAACATTTTAAACTAAAACTTGCTTCTATTTTAAACTCTCAATGTTATGCTTATCAATTGTGATTAGATAGTTCTAGCCTCACATTAATGTAGACATTACATTGCATTTTGTCTCATCAGTGATCTCAGAATCGATTGTCATTTTGTGATTTGTGGTCAGGAAGCTTGATGAAGCCCAAATGCTGTACACATAATGCTGATTTGATTTTATGGGAACTAAGTGGTTTCAAAAGAAAGAACTTTCATGTACAATGGTAATCAAATGCACATTTTGGGGGGATGGTGTGGGATCTGAAAGCACAGGATCAGGTGGACTTGAATCATCTTATTTCTTAATTTAAAATTTTATAATTGACATTTTCTCAGGTTTTTTAGCTGCTTACAATGTTTATCTTTGTGAGAGATAATTATTTGTTAAATCATTAATAGATTATTATGGAGAACTATTATTGAAGAGAGATCCATTTGTTGGCATGTAATAAAAGAAGAATGAATCAAGATAAAACCTCTAAATGCAAGTACCAGAAAAATTGCAACACATCGCAGTAAATTTGCAAGTGGTAAGTCTGCATTTAATTTTACATGGGAATATGTTTCTGAATTATGTGGCATTGTATCCTTAATTCTTATATTTAGATACATTTTAATAATTGCTCATTTGCAAAAAATAGTAGTTTCCTTATATTTATTTAAAATTATTCACATTAAATTTTAACTAAACATTTTCTTAGAGGATAAGAAAATGTCTAGGCTTTTCCATAGAGAAAAATAATCTGTAAGTAATACAAGTTTCAGAAGCATCTTTCAGGATTATAAATCTTATATGGCTTTACAGTTGATGCTTCTTCATTGCATTTTTTTAAAATATTAATTTTAAAAGCATTTAAGATAAGGGCAATGTATAGTGATAAAAAGAGGCTTAATTTAAACATTTTGTTTGTAAGGCTGTAGTGTCTGCAAGCCCGTAGGCTATCTTTATTTTTCAGTTGGTGGAAAAGAATTCAGAAGTACATATGTTTACTAATAAACTTAGGAGAACACAAAATTCATACATAAAATGTGAAAGCCTTCCTTCTCATTGCTCAGTCCTTCCTCAGCCCAGTGATAACCACTGTTAACAGTTTGGAGGTGTGCTCTCTTTCACACTTTTTTCTGATCCATATACAGAATTTACTCATACTTTGCTTCTAACAGAATCATGTACACAATTTTCTATAACTTGCTTTCTCCTTCAACATTTAATTATAAAAAAACTTTAACAGGAGAGTTGAAAAAATTATAGTGTAACATCTGAATACCCATCACCTACATTCACAACTAATATTTTACTGAATTTCATCACATTCTCATCCATCCCTCTGTCCATCTAGCAATCTACTTTAATTTTTTTGGATCCTGTTCAAAGTAAATTGCAGCTATCAGTACACTTCCTCCCTTTCTTCCCTCTCTCCCCAGTACTTAAGCATACATATTATTAACTAGAGTTCAGTGCTGTTTTACAGGGTTTTTTAAAAGGTAAATGTAAATACCATGAAATGCAACACTCCTAAGTGTGTATTTGCTGCGTTTTGACAGTTCATGACCTGTGTATCGCAAAGTTATATCAAGATAGAGATCTGTATCAGCGCCACAGAAGTTCCCTTATGCCCTTTCCTACTCTATCTTTTTTCTCCTCTCTCTCCAGGAAACCACTAAGACACCCCCGCCCCCATAGACTTTGCCTGTGTAACTCAACATTATATGTGAGCAGCCATATGGAGGTCTAGAGCTACTTCATTTTTCCCCTTTTAAATTTGTAGTGACTTGGATGTTACAATTTATTTACTCATTCCTCTCCCTCTACATGGACATTTAGGTTGTGCCATACTATTGTGATTAAAAAAGTGCTGTATAGAACAGACCGGTACACTCTAATGAGTATTTTTTTAGGTATTACTGGAAATAAAACTGCTGGGTTAAAGAGTTTGACATTTACTGCCAGATTGCCCTCCAAATGATTGTATCAGTTTACATGCTACCAGTGTGTCCTTTTCTCTCTGTCCTGTCAACATTGGATGTCATCTGTCTTTCTAAAATTTGTCAATACCAAAGATGAACAATGTGCCTAGTTATTTCACATTTTCCTAATCACTGGTGATTAGCCATTGCATTTTTTCTTCTGTGAATTGCCTCGCTAAGTATTCATTTTTTATGTTTCTTATTAGTCATATGTTATTATTTTCCAGGGGTGCTTTGTCTTTTAACTTCATTTTTGGTGTGTCTTTGGCTTCAGAACTTTTTCCTTTATGTGGTCAAACTTGGCTTATGGGTCTCGTTTGTGAAGACCTACCTCATCCCAAGATTATAAAACCACTTGCTATTTTCTTCTACTAGTTTTGCTTTTTATTTGGAATAGAAGAGAAAGAGAAATCACTGTGAACTGAGGTACCAGGAAAATTTTTATATGGAGAGTGAGATTCAAATTGACCTTGAAGTATGAGGTGAATTTAGAGTAAGCAAAATGGTAAGAACATTTCAGATAGGAGAAATGGGAGATGGAATACATTCTCCATATTCATGGAACAGTAATAAGACCACTGGCTGAGGTGGAGAGTTGGCTAAACCTGTAAGTTTAGACAGATATGTTTGACTATATTTCTTGCAAATTATGTTGGCAAATTTTTATCATTTTCTAAAATCTGAAAAGGCCATAAAGGAAAGGTGGTTTCCTACCAGAATAGTTTGAACACTGTAAATATTTATGCAGTCCAGTTTATTAGAGTTGAATTATAGTTTCTCTAAAAAAAGTTTGTGCTGTAGTAATTTACATCATTAATTATGTAGACACAGCACTCAAGTATATTTAGTTACCAGATCGCAATCTTTAAAAATGTTGAAGTACCAGTATGTCCACTAGTTACATCAAAGTTTAGGTATAAGCTCATCATTTAATATACAAATTAATATGTTGGGATCTTTGGCTAATGAAAGTATTTTACAAATGGCACCGGAGTAGCAGCATTGCGTTCAGTTTGGTTGTTGCTCAGGATGTGTAATAGTTTCTGTTCAGTCATAAGCCACGCCTAGTTGTCATTAACTGAGTGGAGTGGTCCTGCAACTCTACCAGTTAAGTGTTTCCGGTTGTAATCTGATTTGGAGCTCTTGGGAGACTACTGTTTTCTTCTCTACAGTCCAGTTGTAAGGGTTATGTGGCACTAATTTTCACTAATCAGGTATTTAAAAAATATTCAACATATTATTTGCTTACTGTTTTATTTTTTTTATCTTTTGCTCACTTTTCCTTGAGCATGCTTGTTCTTTTAGAGTTTGTTACCTATATGTTTACATCCAGAAAAATAGATACGTTGTAATATACTTTTCACTATCTAATATTTTCTGTTGTGAGGAATCTCTCTTTTCTACTGAAAAAAAATTGTTCTCTGGTAGAGGAGAATAAAAATAAAGTTAAAAAATGAATGAGTATTATATAATTTTGCCACTCGTTTTGCTGGCTTGTTTGCTCTTCTGTTTCTAATATTAATAAATCTGGAAATAAGTTATTAAATTACTCTGTTCTGTATAATTATTGTAATTCATAATTTGTTGTTTAATCCTGAATGGAACTGAAACATTTAGAGAAGTTACATGAAGTTAGTAATATTGAATATGTTGAGAGACAGAGCCTTCTGTCGTTTCTTTTAGCACGCGATGGTTGGCAAGACTGTAAATGTAAACATTTTTTTAGTGTTTCTCTTTTTAGCTTTGGTAGATAGCTTATCATTTTTATTTGAGCATCTTTAGTTTTTAAAATGATACCTAGTAAGTTAAATAGCATGTTTTATCCTCTCTGACTTTTCTCGCTTAAATGATACTGATAGGTATTTTAATTTTCTAATTAAAAGGTATTGAAGTTCAACTTTTACTTTCTTAAAGACCTAGGCGCTATTCATGTTTTAGATTTCATATATAAGGACTAATTTAGACAATATCTGATTTCATCAGTTGAGTGGTGGTGCATTTGAGTTCCCATCTTATTTTTAGCTGCCCCAATATTTGTAGCTTCTAGGAATGATAGCATAGGGGTGTTCTTTTAAAATTAAGTAATCCTTAATCTTTTTTTTTCTTTGTTCTGGTAGCTTTAAAGAACATTGTCAAGGCCTCTAAGAGTTGGTACCCTAAAGCTTTTCAACTGATGATAAATTATTCTAAGAATTAAGTAGTCTGGGATATAAACTGAAATCTGGGAGTCATCCTTGACTTTTTCCCCTGTGATCCCTAATATCCAGTCAATTAGTAAAATTACTGGTTTGATTCTAACTATTTCTTCAATTGATTTCTTCTCCAACTGATCTTTCATCTTTCTCACCAGAGTGTCAGTAATTTATTTTAAAGTATAAATCTCATTAGGTTAAATCCCTGCTTCAATAGCTTTCCAATGCCTAAGAATGACGTTTTAATATTCTTTTTTTTTTTTGTAAATGTGTTTTTATTGACTTTAGAGGGAGAGGAAGGGGAGGGTGGGAGAGAGAGAGAGAGAGAGACAGAGAGAGAGAGAGAGAGACATCTATATGAGAGAGAAACATAGATCAGCTGCCTCCTGCACATTCTCTACTGGGGATCCCGGAAACCTGGCCTCGTGCCCTGATCAGGAATTGAACTGTTGACCTTTTGGTGCACGAGACACTGCTCAACCAACTGAGCCACACCTTCCAGGAATGAAGTCTTAATATTTTAACATGGCATCTCTGTGTCCTTCTTGATGTAGCCCCTTCTCACCACTGACTCTCTCTCCACTAAAAGATTTGTGATTTACGATGGCAATTTGTAATAACTCCTACAACTTTTACCCTGGTATACCTCTTGCTCTTCCTTCTGTTTACAGTATTGTCACTTTTCTTTACTTGAATAACTTACTCACCTTTAGTACTGAACTCAGGTTTCACCCTCTATAGGAAGTCTTGCCCTGATTTAATTAGTCCTCGTCTTTTGTGCCTCTAGTAACAATTTGTCTACATCTCTGGAACTTACCATATTATATTAAAACCATTTTATGACTCTGTTCTCATTAGACTGTTAATTGCTTTAAGCAAAGGCCATGTCTTATTCATTACTGTGTCTACACAGGTAACTGCTGTACAGTGGAGGCTCAATGAATATTTGTTGAACTGAGTTTAACTCATTGCTGTAACAGTAAAGTCTTAGTGAAGCTCCTGAATTAGTGGTTCATAGATACCACTCAGCTGTGTCATATACAATTGGGGAACATTTTTAACATTTTGTTGATTTTTGAGCTTTACTTTGTAAAGCATTATGATTCAATAGATCTGGATTGGGGTCTGGGAATAGTATTTTTAAAAATCTCAGTTGATTCTGGTTTGTGAAACATCGTAGTGTATTAATGTATTATGTCATTGTGTTTTATATTATAATTTATTGTTTAAGCTTATAAGTTACATCTAAAGAATGGGTTTTTAAAGTCATTTTCTTTTTTTTAACATAAGTATAGAAGTATCTTAACTTTAAGAGGCTTATTATTAACACTCAACTGAAAAAAGCCTTGATAGTAATAAGATTAATTGGTCTTCATTCAACAAATTTAATTATTTTGGTAATTTTTAATTGCTTTTCACTTTTTATTATAATTTTTCAAAATGATTTATAAGCATTGTACTTTGGTTTAAAATGAAACTAAATTGCACAAATCTTAAGTGTACAGCTCTGTGAATTTTTACATATGTATATACCCATGAAACCTACCCAGGTCAAGAGATAGAACATTTCTAACCCCTCTAAGGTTCCCTTATGTTCCTCTCTAGTTAAACACCCTTCCCACCACAAAATGACTGCTATTTTGACTTGGATGACCATCAGTTAGTCTTATGATTAAAACTACTAAAAAATTATATAATATATATATATTTTGGTGGATATGTTTACTCATTTTTGGGGGGTTTACACATGGATTTTCTGGGTTAAGGACAGACTTGTGTTTAACTTCAGAAGGTAGTGCCAATTTATATTCTATGATAGCAATTCATAAAAAAAAAATCAAAATTAAATTATTTGAAGCTTATGGTGAAATTTGAATATCCTGAAACTTTTTTCTTTTCTAAAGTATTTTATTTTGTCAAAAATATACAAAGAAAAGTCAACAAGTATTATGTTATAGTTGCCAGTAAGGTAATTTTGTTTTAGTCAAATACTTTTTTCTCTATGCTAGTAAGTAACTTTTTTCCCTCTTTCTCTCTCCGTAGGATTGTCTTTCCTGTGGGTTGGCAGGCAGTTGTAGGACTGCAAAATGGGTCTCCGGATTCACTTTGTTGTTGACCCACATGGTTGGTGCTGCATGGGTTTGATTGTCTTTGTCTGGTTATACAATATTGTTATAATTCCCAAAATTGTCCTCTTTCCTCACTATGAAGAAGGACATATTCCAGGCATATTAATAATAAGTAAGTTTCTAGGTCTTTATTTCTTTATATAATTAAAGATTTTCTTCATTGTGGATGTTTTTGGAATATAGTGCTACTATATTAATCTTCCTTTTAATATTAGTGCTATTAATACTAAGTTATTTACTGAATTATGGAAATTTTAAAAAATAGTGTCCTTTATATACTATTTTGCAGGGTTAGATAAATGGGTTAGATATCTAACTCTACAAAATCTATAAAGATCATTTTATTTAAAAAAAGATACAATTGTGTTAATTTGTGTATTTTTAATATTTCTGTTATGTACTTACTGCAAATGTATAAAGAGTTTAAGTATGAAGATGGTATACGTTAATGAGAAGTAAGATTTTTGTGATACAAATGTTCATTATAACACTTTGAACTTCTACATAATTACTTTCTGCTATAATTCATTGGTGATGGCTTGCTTATGATTAAATTTGAAATGACATATTTTACATGTACATGGCATTTACAGTTTCCATATACAGTATGTCATTTTGACCTCACAAGAGCTGTGAGAAATACGGTTTCTGATATATAAATGATAAAATTGACCAGTGCCATGCCGTCAGCCCTGGAGTTAACACTTGAACTAAATTTCCTATTACAGGTGCAGTGCCCTCTCCTCCACCCCACCCTCAAAAAATGCCTATTCTTTTATTCATTTAAAAGGTTGAATTTTGATGAATGAATTTTTTTCTCTTACTGTTACTTTATCTAGTTTTTCATTTTAAAAAAGTTTCTAGATTCTTTATTTTCAAATGAAATATCTTAAATCTATTGAAAGGAACAATTGAACATCACTAATTCAAAGTAATTTTGAAGATAGCCAATTAAGAATTAATGAAAAAGTTTAATTGTAGGATAGGCTAAAAAATGCTGCTTTAATTTTTCCATATATAGTACATATACTTAATAGGGAGCCCATTCATTTATGCCATTGCTTATTGGGAATTTCTATTAATAAAGAATATGATTTACAACAAGTTTATTAGTTATTATGCAAAGTAACATTTAAAAGTGGTATACTTAAGATAGTCCTCTTGGCAGTATTATTTGATGAATCAAGTGAATTAATCGTTTAATTTTTCCATCTTTTGAAAATTATTTATCTGGATGCTATTAATTAAAATATGCAGTTATACTTTAAATATGCTTGTTGTTAAAAATGTGTGTAAGAGTAAGTGACTAATTTTCTTTCTTTCCCTTCCCTTTCCCTTTGCCCTTCTCCTACCCTTTCCTTTCCTTTTCCCTTTCCTTCTAGTATTCTATGGCATTGCCATATTTTGTCTGGTGGCCTTAGTAAGGGCCTCAATAACTGATCCAGGAAGACTCCCTGAAAACCCTAAGATCCCACATGGAGGTATGGTACTCTTCAGATTTATCAGTTTTACTTTTCCAGAATTACTCTTCTTATCAATGTATTTATTGCCTTTAGTATGCATTAGTTATACATGACATCTATTACAGCTTTCAAGTTTTTTCTCAGATGTTTCCTTTCTAGAGTTCTCTATTTAAAATTGCAAATCCCAGTTGACTCCTCATACCCCTCTCCTTGGCTCTCTCTTTCAGTTTGTGTATTGGTTTCTCTCTCCTCCCACCCTTGATCTGTATGACCTCACTGAGGGTAAAGATTTGTTGTTTCGTTTTCATTTGTTCAGTGCTGTATCCTCAGTGCCTGGAACAGTCTCTGTCACTTAGTAAATACTGGGTAAATATTTGTTGAGTGGTATATAATTGTTTGAGAAATTAGTATTTTTACTTAATAATAAAATTTTTATGAAAAATTTCATGATTAAAAAAAATATTGGCAACTAGTTAAAAATTTAAAAAAATTGTTTTAAAATGAATACCAAGCAGATTAATATCTGTGGGCCTAATTGAATCATGAAACCACAATGTTACCTTTAGCTTATAGACTGTAGCAACGGAGGACACCATCTTGCTGACTATTTGGATATCTGCATTATATCTGGTCCCATTGACATTTGGCCTATTTTTCTTCACTAAATTCAGAAGATTTCTGTCCAATAAAAAAAGATATGTTCATTTATCATATTTTAATGTTTTCAAAGCCTCTTGATATCTATCTCATGTCATATAATCCTCAGGGTAATTGTATGAGGTAGGTAGCCTGCGTGACCAGAAGCATAGATTATGCTTTATAGGTCACATGGCAGAATATTACAGAAAGATTTGAGGCACAGAACCTTGTTCCACCAGCTTTTACTATGGCTTTAAATATGGATTAAAAAAAATCATGACCTCCTGGTTCAAAGGTAGATGCTCAACCACTGAGCCAGGCTGCCTGGGCCCCAGAATTTGATTTTACAAGCTTTTCAGCATGCAGATAAAATAGTCAAGTGAAATAATTAAATGCTATTTATATTATTCAAATTATTCACACATGTCTGAAATACAGAAATATTACTTTTGTCACTTTCAAATTTTATGAAATGATTTTATTCAATCTCTTAACTTTTTAAAATAGCTTTATTGAGTATAATTCATATGCAATATAATTTATCCATTTAAATTATACACTTTAGTGGCTTTTAGTATATTCACAGAGTTATGCAACTGTCACCACAATCAGTCTTAGAACATTTCATCATCAAGCTGTTTCTTAACTAGTAATTTTGACTTTACTGTTTTTTGTCATTACTAGAGCTACTTTTTGACATATGGTTAGAGAACAAAATCTTCCTTCTAAGTTTTAAAAAATATATCATGTTTTAAATTTGTCTAATATTGTCCCTTGAAATTTAACCCATGCTGTTAATGCTGAGGGTCATGTATTCACTCATAGTTTTGCCTTTTTCCTCCCTCTTATATTGTTTTATTTTATTATTGTTATTTTTGTTAATCCTCACTTGAGGATATTTTTTCTATTGATATTTAGATAGAGTAGAAGGGGCGGGGAAGAGAGAGAGAGAAACATTGATGTGAGAGAAATACGTCGGTTGGTTGCCTCCTTCATGCACCCAACTGGGGCCAGGGATCAAACCTGCAATCCAGGTATGTGCCCTTGACCAGAAATCGAACCCATGACCCTTTGGTGTGCGGCTGGTGCTCTAACCTCTGGACACACCAGCCAAGGCTTATATTGCTTTTTCTATTTTAAATTTTTATTTTTAGTCCTCACATCAGGATATGCTTTTTTTTATTGCTTTTTAGAAAGAGCAGAAGGGAGAAAGAGAGAGAGAGAACTATTGATATGAGAGAGAGAAACATCAATCAGTTGCCTCTCATAGGTGTCCTGACTGGGGATGGAACCCGAAACCCAGGCATGTGCCCTGACTGGGAATAGAACCCGCAACCTTTTGTTGTATTGGACAATGCTCCAACCAACTGAGCCACCTGGCCAGGGCTTATATTGCTTTTTAAAGGTGATCTGTAGGAGACTTACTAACATTTATTTCCTACATTGGCAACCATTTCTGTCAGACCTAAACCTTGTATTGATTTTGGTAGTTTTAAATTATATTTTTCCCCAAAACATTACGTTGTGATTGGAAATGCAGTAATTGAGAGAGGGCCCCTTAACAATTCGAGTCTTTTATGACTAAAACAGAAGGTGCTTCCTTTCTGAGGGATAAACAAAAAATAAAACCTTGTTTTATATTCATTCATGTATTTACAGCATTAATAAGGATCCATGTTAAACAGTGTTATGCTCACCTGGAAAACTGCTGAATATTCTATTGAGATCTTCCCATGGGACCTCCCCTAAAATCTTCACCCTTAAAGCCCTTAGAGGAGGACCCTGTGTGCTCTTCCTCGGGAGCACGCCCTTGCCTTTCCCTTTCTCTGCCCTCTTCCCCTCCCTGTCCCAGGCCCATTACCATTAGCTTCCTCACTTCCAAGCTCCAAGGGCCCTTCCAGGTAACTTGTTTCCTAAGTCCATTTCTTCTAGGAATTACCTTTCTACCTCTATGATTTACCAAATAAATGTTCTCTTACAAAAAAAAAAAGTGATGCTGTTTACTTATATTAAAATCTCAGTCATTCCGTCATTTGTGGAGTTTGTCTTTTTCTCTCTGATTAGTTTTAGGTTTTGATTTTTCTTCTTAAAAATATATGTGAGTTTTTAATTTATTTATAGTTATCATAAAATAGCAATTGGATTTTCTCTTCCATAGGCTTTTATTTTATATTTTGAGATGGCTGGTACAAAGTATTGTAGGTAGTTATCAGACATCAGAATATATTGGCCACCAGGTCCCATTGGCACATGCATACACCTGAAGAAGGGAAGGGAGAAGACTAAGACATGGATTACAGATTTGTAGGTTGAAACTATTCTAATAACCTCCTAAACCCATTTGAAGATCTTTTCCAAAATCCCCCCATAAACTTTCCCCAATGAACTCGTTAATATGAGAAAATAAAATGGTTTGAGGGTTGGGAATGCAATCTCTGTTTCTCTAATGAGATTATAGGATTGATTTTGATTTATTAATCCATGAAACCAGAACTCACCATTATTCCTTTATTATAGCCTTTAGATAAAATTTCTAGAAATTTGTTTAAATAAAATTCTGTTTTAATAATTTGGTTGTATTTTAGAGTTTTATCATTGAATTTTACTTGTAGCAATATGTCCCAAACCCAAATACATTGTTTCTATCCCTTAGTTTGACTAATAATAGTGTCTTATTTTTTTATAGTATTTAAAATTAGAAGCATACAAAATCAGACATCATAAAACAGAGTAACAACATTTATGTGAAATACTGGAGACTAGAGGAAAAATTTCTTAGACCTATATATTGAAGACTTTCTATAAAATCTGTAAATAATTGTTGCTATATTTCAACATTACTCATTTACCTTCATTAAATGGATTTTAATTTCTTTCTCTAGAAAGGGAGTTCTGGGAATTATGTAACAAGTGTAATTTGATGAGACCAAAGCGTTCCCACCACTGCAGCCGCTGCGGCCACTGTGTTAGGAGAATGGATCATCACTGTCCATGGTAAGAAATAAATAATTCACTTTTAGAAAAAACTAGTAAAACTAAATTGTAGTACTTAGCAGGTTTAAACAAAAGTTACATGAATGTGTTGTAGTTTAAAAACACCTTTTAATAAGCATTCATTTTTGATATGGTTTTATGAACTCCCAAAATCATTTTTTCCCCACAGAGATCCTATCTTTTCTAACAAGGAAATATTCTAGTAGAAAGCTAAGAATTAACATGCAGCCAAATGTACAAAGGACTAAGGTGGTTATATTAAATGAGGCATGTATGTAAAACATTTTGTACAGTGTCTGAGACTTAGAAAGTACTTAAATAGTAGCTCTTATTGTTTTTAACTGTAATAAACTGTATACATCCCATTGTTTATATTTCCCTTTCCATTTGTTTAAAGAATAATACATTTCAGGTACCCTGACCTCATTCCTCTCCCTTTAAGCCTTTTTCAGTATTATGTGTTTTAGGTATTAACATTACATACATGCTGGATGTGTGTAAGTGGAAATCAGCTAATTCTGCTGAACAGCCAACATTTTTGGTCAATAGGGGGCTCTCTTGTAATATTTAAAGAAAATGTTTACTTGAAAAATAGAATTTTTAAAACAAATGCTGTGAGAATTCTGCATTGTATCTCATTTCAAAGCTGTCACAAAAATCTGTGAACAAGGTATTGTATTTAAGTGTTTTTCTAGCGTGGGATAGCTGTATAAATATTTAAACTGGTGTAGTGTAGCACTCTATAAACATATCTCTACATCTGTGTTTATGTTTGTACATACATGCATGCATATATACAAAGTTAACTATATAGCAGGCTTGTTAAATTTATAACTGCTTATATCTAAAGTTGACTCGAGGGAAGTGTTTAGCTTTGTCTAGTAATTCTAATCAATTTAGAGTTTCCCTTATTTGTTGATAACTTATTTTGATAGCACAAGTTATTAGCAAGGTTTTAGTGGAAATTTGGGTTTTACTATAAACTGATTATTTAAGTAGATAAAAAGCACTTTTAGATAAAAGTACTTTGTTACTATATATATTTCATCAATAAGATAGTATAGTTTGTAACACATAGTTGGTCTTTAAAAATGTGCCTGGAATTTATACAGGTTAATCCTCAAGTGTTTTCTGTAATTCAGTGATCTCTTTATAATTATAATAATAATAGATTAATAAAAGCTAGGTAAACTGTTAAGTGGTAATCACACTGAAAAACTCAATTTTATACACTTTTTAGAGCAACTAAAAATATAATAAATGTTCATATACAGTTGGATATTGATACTTCCCTTTAAAAGAATGCAATATAGTTTAAACTTAAAAACATAAACAGTGAATAAGGAAATATTTTGGTACTATAGAGATTAGTGATATTTTTTATTTATTTTTAAAGAATAAAGATTAACTCAGTGACGAAATAAAGTGCTGTTTAGCCTAAACTCAAAAGATTGTGGTGAGTTCTCTGTTTCTAGGCCTCTTGCTTCCAATGTAGTCAACTTCTCAGAATATTGGGAAGATGAGTGGAAGAAGAAAGAGTTGGAAGATAGGAAAGGAGGGTAGACCAGGGGCCTGAATAGATTTAGGGATTTTCATGATTTAATTTCCTAATAGAATACTCAGAGTGAGGGAAACTATACAGTGTAAATTGGAAGAAAAGAGAATTTTTGTTATTTTCAGAAACAGCATTGTTCTAACTGCCTAAAGCTTTAGATTTGGAGGTCAATTCTCAAGTCACCATAAGATTTTCTCTGATCTGGATCTGATCACTTTTTCTATGTAGTATAATTGTTACCAAGAGAACTCTTATACCTATAAACTAAGAACCTTAGTGCTTCTTAAAGCTCTCTGGTTAAGAAAAATGCCAGTATCATAGCAGTTCTTCTCAAATTTAGGGGGACAGGAAGGATAGGACAAGGAAACGTCATCTTTCAAGCAGTCTCTGTTGAAGAGTGCATATATAAACACTTTTTGATAGCCCTGCTTGTAACAAAACACAAGACATTTATTAACAAAGAATGAGCTCTTAAGTCTAAGGAATGCCTCTGCAAGGTTTTCTGTTCAGTTCTATATCTGATTTTAAAAAATACTTTAACAACACACTTTTAAAACAATTTTAGTTAGGAATTGAACCTATTATATAGTTTTTTAAAGACAGTGCCAGTGCTCTGGCTGGTTTGGTTCAGTGGATAGAGCATTGGCCTGAGGACTGAAGGGTCCCGGGTTCGATTCCTGTCAAGGGCACATGCCTGGGTTGCAGGCTCAATCCCAGTAGGGGGTGTGCAGGAGGCAGCCGATCAGTGATTCTCATCATTGATGTTTCTATCTTTCTCTCCCTCTCCCTTCCTCTCTCCAAAAATCAATAAAAATATATACAAAAAAAAAAACCCCAACAAAAACTAAAAAACACACCACAAAACAGTGCCAGTATAATATATTGAAATAAAAACATTTGTACAGGGTAACTTATAGCTCTGAACTAGGGTTTTCTCCTGGAATTGTAAAATATTTTGAAAATTTGGGTACAATAAATTTTGAAACAATAAAACATTTAGCTTGCATTAGCTTTGAAATTTTTGGGATTATGACATTAATCATCTTTCCTAGTTATGGTTCACTATTGTGTTGCTGGAATTGTAGCTCTAAGAATCTGTAAGTAGTTTTGGATATATGTCTATTTTTAGCAACCAAGGATAGCTTTTAAAAGTAAGAAGAATAGTGAATGCTTTGCAGTTATGTCAGAGTGGCAGGATTAAGTTATTTTACTTCACATCATTCAAACTGCTCTCGAAGCTAGAATGCTTCATAGAAGAGCACTGTATAGGAGAAGGTTCTTGTTTTCTTCATCGTTAACTGTACTTGCTTTGGCAAGTGTCTTAAGTTCTAACTGTACAGCTCTGGCAAGTTTAACTCCTTTGTTCCTGTTCTCACCTCTGCTCTTCCTGCCTCACGGGGTGGTTCTGAGTTAAAGAAGGATCATATATATGGACTTCCTTTGTAAAGTACAAAGTGCTTTACAGATATTATATCTTTTCCTATGTACTGTTTGCTTTTAGGTTTGAGTGATGTTAGTCTGTCTCCATGAGGTTACCCATATAGGAAGTTCTTTTGTGTTTATTTTTACCAATTCTGAAATTAACATCTTATTAAAGTTTAATTTCTTTTTATTTTTTTTCTTCAGGATTAACAATTGTGTTGGTGAAGATAATCATTGGCTTTTTCTGCAATTGTGTTTCTACACTGAACTTCTTACTTGCTATGCACTGATGTTTTCTTTCTGCCACTATTATTACTTTCTTCCATTAAAAAAGCGTAACTTGGTAAGAAATGTTTATATTCACTAATGTTAGAGCAGCTATAGTATACAGTTATTAACATGTTTCCTTTATGTTCAGAAGATTGAAAACAAAAGCAATAAAAATAAACCCAAAATTAATGGATTTTAAGATATATTGGGATTGAGAAAGTAGACCCTAATCAGACATTACCTTTTAACCATTTATAATTATTAGTGTTGAATGACTTTCTTTAAAAAGCAATGTAATAGATCTTTTGATATACAGTATATGTTTTGGTTTAAAATATCTACAATAATGAGAGACACTTGTTTCTTTTCAGGAATAAAAATAGACTTTAATATTTTAAAGTTTTTCAAAGGAATTTTAAATTATTGAGAAAAAAACTTTTCCCCCTAACTTTGAACAATATATAATGTAATAATTATAAGAATTTGTAGGATGCTTCAAAAAGTTGTTATATATATCATTTGAGGAAAGACAGTACTTTTCTTGCTTTGTAGAGGAAATACAACAGATGTTAATAATACTTGCCCAAAATAGTGTCAGAGGTGGTGGTATTGGTAATAGCTGCAACTAAGAGTTTTAAGCCCCACTATGCTATGGCTTGTCATTTTAGTTCTCACTCTAATACTCATAACCACCATTTGAGGTGAGTACAATTTTTGCCCACTTTCATAGATGAGGAAGTAGACTAACAGACTTTTAATTAGTAGTTGTTAAAGGCACAAAGCTAAGAAGTGATTATTCAACTGGTTTTAGTTGGAGAGCTGGGATTTGAACCTGATTTTGTGTTTTCTGAATCTTACCTTGTGTGCTTTCATATAGAGCTGGTTTTTGAGTCTCATATTGTATGTCACTTAGACTTTGATTGTGTTTTTAAAATAATTGTGTGTGTGTGTGTGTGTGTGTGTGTGTGAGAGAGAGAGAGAGAGAGAGAGAGAGAGAGAGAGAGAGAGAATGAATGCACAGGTATGCAAATGTGCATGTGAGGAAGAAAGGGGAGGAGAGAGGAAGATAGAAAAATCTTGATGGGAAATTTTTCTTATTTATATTATTTAAATCTTTTAAAAATAACAAGTTCAGTGGTGGTACACATAATTAAATTTTGGAATAAGGGAGAGAAGGTCTTTAAGTTCTATATATTTATATTTCTTGTACACATTTTATGTAATTAAAAGGACATTTGTTACTGTTTCTGGGCTGTGATTATGCTTATTAAATATAGATAATTGAGCAACTGAAATTATATATAAGTAACTGAAAAAAAGTTCAGTATGGGAACTTTAAATATTGATATTTTCACACCAAGTATTTTGTGTATGCCAGTACTATATATAGTTTTAGGAATATTTCATCTTATTTGTAGAATAATTTCTGATATGATTGGTACTGTATTTAGACTTTGTAAAAGGTTGTACATAGTTTCCCAAGAGTAACCTGTTTCAAATAATTGAGCCTAATAAGGAAAGCATTAAAATAAAATTGCCCAGTAAGATTAAGGTCATAATTTTTTTAACAGTGAGAGAGAAAATTTATTGCTGTTAATGAAAAGCTAATAGAAATTCTCTAGGAGGGAATGCATTGATTTATCTTGGAGGAATTGGCAAACTATGGGGCTTGGGTTAAATTAGACCCTCTACCTATTTTTTAAAAAAATTGTTTATTTTATTGATTTTAGAGAGAAAGGGAGGGAGAAGGGAGAGAAAGAGGACGGTAGGTAGGGATGGAGAGAGTGAGAAACATTGATCAATTGCTTCCTGCATGCACCATGACCAGGATTAAACCCACAACCTGGTATGTGCCCTGATCTGGAATCAACCCATGACCTTTTGATATACTGCACAATGCTCCAACCAACTGAGCCCACACTGGCCAGGGCAACTATTAGGATCTTTATACTGAGTTTGCCAACCCCTCGTAGTAGAATGATCTTGGCTTTGTAAACAGATATACCTAGGATCAATGCCTGGCATTTCTTATTATATGTATAACCTTTGACACATCGTTTAATCTTCCTGAAATTGCAATGTTGTTTTTTTCTGAAAAATGTAAATTATTATGAGATTAAATAAGATAACACATGTAAAAGTACCTTGTATATAATATATATTTAATTTATGTTACATTTGATTTTGGTGAAAGCTCTCAGAAGGAAGGGACAATTTATCTTTGACTTATTTTTAGGCTGTTTAAAAACATTACTGGGAAATTTACCATAGACTAAAGAAGTTCCAATACCAAATAAGAATAGAGTGGTAATACTCAATTGAAGGATTAGACATTTGAAATTACAAAATACAATTTTCTCTCCAAATGAAAGGTAGAAACTCTGGAAAAATTATTACTACCAATTTACATTTTTAATGGATGTTGATAGAAGACTAGCAGCATAGTAAAAGTTTATTAAGAGATTAAAAATCTAGGAGGAAACGATAAAATGAGTATAAGTTGGGTTTTGAAAATTCAAATCAGATTTTCCTTAAAGCAATCAATTATAGAAGCAATACAGGTGATTTTTAATTTTAAGAAATCATAAGAACGTTAACCAATAGGTTTATCAAATAGAAATTAAATAATTAGCTAGCTCATGTTGGTTGTAAATAAGCATATTAAATAATAAACAATAAATTATAAATAGTTCTAATTATAAATTGACAGGTATTCTAGTAGTGTTGAGCAGGAATTGTTCTCTAAACCAAGTATCCTTATTGTATTAAGTAGGGTGCTTTCATAATTACTTTCATGTTAGACATAATGAAATTGAAACCCAAAGAGGTTATGTTATGACATTTCCAAAGTCATATTGAAGAATTTAGTATGTTTTAACCTTGTTTTTGATATATTCTCTGAATCATGAAGTGATTCATATATTATCAAGTTATATATATGGAGAACTTTACCATATGTTGCCCAATATAAGAAAAGACAATTTTGTTGGACTAAGTTAAATTCATAAAAATAGAATGTTTATTATTGTTGTTTCTAAACTACTTTAGTTTACTAGAGCAAAGCTAAATTCTAGGACCAGAATTATTATATAATTAAGCCTGGAGACCATGTTTTACATTAGATCCTCAGACCTTACTGTACTACCCTTTTAACAACCTCTCCCTGTTCCTGGCAGCCTCTGTGCCTACTGCAGCCTCGTGGCCCACAGTTCCTTTCAAGGTGCACGAATTCATGCATTGGGCCCCTAGAATTTAATATAATCCATGGAATAGCTTTTCATTTATTAGTATCTTCATTTTTTTTTCATCAATATCTTATAGGTTTCACTGTACTGATCTATCACCTTCTAGGTAAACTTATTCCTAAGTATTTTATTCCTTTTGATTTATTTGAAAACAGGATTGTTGTCTTAATATTTCTTTCTCATAGTTTTTAGTGCATAGAAATGCAACTGATATTTATGTATTTATTCTGTCTTCTGTAACTTTACTGAATTTGTTTACTAGTGCTAATAATTTTTTGGTAGAATCTTTGTTTTTTTCATATACAATATGTCATCTATAAATAGAAATAATTTTATTTTTTCCTTTCTAATATGGAGGCCTTTTATTTTTTTTTCTTGCCTAATTGCTTTGACTTCCAATACTATGTTGAATAAAAGTGGTGAAAGTGGGCACCCTTGTCTTTTCCTGATTTTAGAAAAAAAAGCTTTTGGCCTTTCAACCATTAAGTATGAGGCTTCTGTGAGCTTGTCATATCTAACCTTTATTATGTTGAAGTATGTTCCTGGTATACCCAGTTTTTTGAGAGTTTTGTCATAAATAGATGTTGAATTTCATTAGGTGCTATTTTTGCATCTTTTGAGGTGATTATATGATTTTTGTCTTCAATTTTGTGAATGTAGTAAATCACATTGCTTGGTTTGCAGATGTTAAAGCATCTTTGCGTCTTTGGAATTAAATCCCACTTGATCATGGTATATGATTCTTTTAATGTGTTGTTGAATGTGGCTTGCTGATATATTTTAGATTTTTGCCTCTCTGTTCATCAGGAATGTTGGCTCTATTTTTCTTCTGTTATGTAGGTTTGGTATTAGGTAAATACTGGCCTTATAACATGATTATGGAAGTATTTCCTCTTTAATTTTTTTGAAAAGTTTAATGAGGGTTGGTGTTAATTCTTCTTTAAATGTTTGGCAGAATTGACCAATAAAGCCATCTGGTCCTATACTTTTCTTTTTTGGGAGGTTTTTGGTAATTGATTATTCAGTCTCAGTAATTGGTTTGTTTAAATTTGCTGTTTCTTTATGATTTGGTCTTGATGGCTTTCATGTTTCTAGGAATTTATTCATTTTTTCTTCTCAACTTATTGGTATGTAATTTTCATGGTAGTCTTTTATGATCCTTTGTATTTGTATGGTATCATTTGTAATGTCTCCTTTTCATTTTTTATTTTATTTATTTGAGTTCTCTCTTTTTTTTTTGAGTGAGTATAGCTAAATGTTTGTCTATTTTGTTTATCTTTTCAAAAAAACAGCTTTTAGTTTCCTTTATTTCTCATCTTTTAAGTCTCTATTTTATTTACTTCTGCTCTTAGTCATTTCTTTCTAACTTTTGGCTTGGTTC